AGCCGAGCAGGGCCAAGTACTTCGTGGTGGCTCCGGCACGGTCTCCATGCACAAGGGCAGGAGCCAAGCCTGCTTGCCCAGAAGCGCAGGCTGTGGCCTCCAGACCAATTGATGGCAAGTGCTCGAGGAAGCCCACCTGCCGGCCAACTTGGTCTAGCCAAGGCCAGCACTGAGGCAGAAGCCCGGGTTTGCTCCCTGGACCATAATCAAGTCAAGGGCTCTTCCTACTTTACTTCCCCGGAGCTAGCAGCGACCCCGTCTTCAGTTAGAAGAGAGTTAGAGGTGTCTGATCCATGCCAGCCCCTGTGTATCATTTCCAAATTCCCCCAGAATATTTTCATTGGTTCTAAACACAGGTAGTTATCCTTTAATGGGTTTTCGGGTGAACAGCTGTCAAAAACACACATTTATTTTACAAACTCATTCAAGCAACACTCACTGAGCCCCGTCATAGGCCGAGCATCGACCAGGGCGATGGGGACTCAACAGGGAACAGGCCGCGGCTCTGAGAAGTCACAGTGGATGGAGAGATGAGACAGATGCACGTGTACAAATGGAAGTTCACATCCCATATGCCTACATATTTAGAAGTTATCATGTCAAGCTAACAAACTGTTAATTAAAGAATGTTCTATCTTTCAGCTTTAACAAATCCCTTCATAGTGACCGGGAACATGGCTGCACGGAGGCCCACCTCTCTCTGCCCATGCCCAGGTTTGTCCCACACTGAGAGCTGCATGCTCTACCCATATCCACTCATATGGGACTTTCTGTCAACACACCCCAAACAGCCACCCTGAGGCCACCCCTCTGTCTAGGGGAACCAACACCAGCAGCACAGTCTGCCTTCAGCTCACGAAGATGGGTCCGGGGCAGCAGCCCAGGCAGGCCCTGGAAGTGGGTTGAGGCTGTTTGGACCAGGAATTCCAGGACCCCAGGTGCCCAAGGCATGGCCTAGGAAAGGGGGTCTGGGCTCCAGGCAGCTCATTCCCTGCTGTGCAAGAGAGAGGCAAGTGGAGGAGGCCACAGTGGGACACAGAGCAGGCTCCTCGTGCGAGAGTCTTAAGGGCAGCACTGGGGTCACCATCTGTCTACACTCGCATCCTCTGGGACGTCCTTAATCCTTTGGCCTTCACTGGCCTTAGGCCAGAGGCCCATGGAGGTCACTGCTGTGTCCTGCCGGCTTCCTGGACTTACAGCCTCCTCAGGTCTGCGGCCTCTCTCGGCCACATTTTGCTGCTCTTGGAAACCTGCTGCTGCTCTCACATAGCTCTGTGCTGGGGAAGGGCTGCCTCCGTGCCCTCCTGATCTCACAAGCTCATTCTCCGCTCTTGTGCCACACGGTGGGGCAGGGAACCTGGTGACACTCTCAGGCACCCGGCCTAGAACACCACACAGATGTTCCTTTTTCTCAACGTGCTTGATGCGGGGTCCCTCCAGAGTGTCCTAGATGTGTCTGGGTCTATCTGCCTCCGTGATTCTCCTCAAGGAGCTCTTTCCAGTCGTTTAGCTTGTGCCAGGCCTAGGCTTTGGAAACTCAAAAGTCAAGAGATGGCTCCACTGTTCTCTGCGTCAGCTCTGTCACCCTTTCCTAGGGAAGTGAATGCAGAATGCCCCAGCTGCCTGGGCTAAGGAGCTGTCACAAGGCACAAAGAAATACCGACAAGAATTTGTTAATATTCCAAAATATTGTCTCAAAAATTTACATAAAATTATTGAGAGACATGCTATCCTGGATATACAATTATAATTACACTGGCCCACTGTTAACAGGATATAAATGTTGAGTTTTTCTGGCAATGAGTATGGATTTATTCCACTTCATCCACGGTCTCAACCAATCCACCTAGTGAGAGGCACATGCATTGGCAAGATGGCCATCTGGGCTTGGGGGACACGATGAGGCCACACAAGAGATCAGATTAATCCATCCACACGAAGACGTCATAATAGACCATTCTTGTGACCACAGTAACCTCAGCCAGTAAGATATAAGGCTTTTTCTTTCGTAGATCTTCAGATATAACATATAAGACAGCTTGTCTCTGTTATTAAATCAATAAATAAGGAAATAAATAGAAATTTGTTGAACTCCTGGACTGATATTTAAACCTAAAAAGTTGACTGAATGGTCTTTGCTTGGCCGTATTTTCTTCCTTTCTCTTCTTCAATAGCACCCACTCGCGATCACAAGTGCCTATTGACGGCACGATCCAGAATACTGCAATTAGCTTTCTAACACCAATTTTATATTAAGGCACACAAATAACATGAGGGAGGTGAAATGCTATGTTCCTCTTGATTAGTGTCTTACAATAACAGATGTAAGCAGCCGCACACTGATAGATATCTGCTCCAAAAGTACATTTAAAGTCAGAGACTGGCATTCTCCTCTCAACAATCCACCCAGAAGCTCATTTAGGACTTGCGTGAAAACTAGGATGTTTTTATGAATGTGGATCCTTCAGCTTCGTGGTGGTGAGTTCCTGAAAGGCATCTGCAGCAAATGAAACATTTTTTAACAAATGTAGGACCAAATACAGGGAAGAGACCACAGTAAAAATCAGTTTTATAAAAAAATCCGTAGATTTTAATGAGTGAAAGACCATGTAAAATTCCAATTCTTAGGTAAATCAAATTTACTTTCAAATAAGTACATTTTCTTTAATCACTAAGTGCCAGTAAACTAATCAATTTTTTGTGTGTGTGTGAGGAAGATTAACCCTGAGCTAACATCTGTTGCCAATCCTCTTTTTGCTGAGGAAGATTGGCCCTGGGCTAACATCTGTGCCCATCTTCCTCTACTTTATATGTGGGACGCCTGCCACAGCATGGCTTGATGAGTGGTGCGTAGGTCCGCACCTGGGATCCGAACCTGCGAACCCTGGGCCGGTGAAGCGAACTTAACCACTATGCCACCAGGCTGGCCCCTAAACTAATCAATTTTAAACTCTGCTACCATGAATTTTAATTGCTGAGCATAGAGTTTTAGTGACTATAATATTCTGAAATAAACTCAACTTGGGCATAATTATTATTTTTTTAAATACATTGTTGGATTAAGTTACAAATACTTTACTTAGGAATTTCCCATCTACTTTAATGAGTGAGATTCATCTGTCATTTTCCCTTCTGGCTTTAGAATGAGCTGAGATGTGTTTCGTTATTTTCTGTAATATGAAACAGTTTGTGTAGGATTAGTGTTAGAGCTGAATTGTGTTCCCCAAATTCACATTTTGCAGTTCTAACCCCCAGTACCTCGGAATATGACTGTATTTGGAGACAGGACCTTTAAAGAGGTGATTAAGTAAAAATGAGGCCTGAAGGGTGGGCCCTAATCCAATCTGACTGGTGTCCTTATAAGAGAAATTTGGACACACAGAGACACTAGAGATGCTCACACATACAGGAAAGAGCTTGTGAGGACACAGCAAGAAGGCAGCCATCTACAAGCCATGGAGAGAGGCCTTGGAAGAAACCAGACCTGCCAACACCTTGATCTTGGACTTCCAGCCTCCAGAAGTGTGAGAAATAAATTTCTGTTGTTTAAGCCACCCAGTCTGTAATAATTTGTTATCGCAGCCCTAGCAAATTAATACAATTAGAATGACTTGTTCCTTGAATGCCAAGTTGAATTCACTTGTAAAATCTTTTGGGTCTGGTGAAACATTTTGATCATTGGTTCAAATTAGTTAATAATTATAGGACTTTTCAATTTTCTATTTCTTCATGAGCCAGTTTTGGTAAACTAGATTTTTTAGGAACACGTACATTTTATTTGTTTTCAAGGTTATAGAAATCAGATTGTTTATAATATCCTCTTGCTATCTTTTAGTCCCTGCAACCTCTATAAGTGTGTTCCTTTTCCATCTTAATAATATTGTTAATTTGCACTTTTCTTCTCTGTCTCATGGTATTTCCAAGTGTGTCATTTCCATTAATCTTTTCATCAAACCAACATTTGGCTTTGTTGATCCCCATATTTTGTCTTCTGTTTCATTAATTCTTACATTTATCTTTATTATTCCCTTCTTTCTGCTTTCTTTGGGTTGATTCTTGGAAAACCTCACTACTCTCAGGACTAACATTTGAGACATCTAGTGTAAATTAGTGGTTTTCAAATTCTGCTCTTCAAAACCCTATGATATTCTTTGGTGGCATCCACAGGTTGCCATGGAGGGTCACACTCCCACCAAGAAAGCTCATCCGTTTTCATCAAAACAGTGCTACTTTGAACAGTTTTACATGTAGGACTTCCATAAAATTTGGAAAAAATGGTTGCATTTTCTAAAAAAACTGTTTTTAAAAATTTGAAGACTACTGAAGGACTGGGCTAATGAGGTCTATTTCTCCCATATCATAACTTTTAGTACTTATAGATACACATACTTCTATTGACAATGTACTAAGCTACTAAGTACCAATTTATGATTAGGGAAATCGCTCCACATTTGTCAATGCCAGACCCTTCTAAATTGGGATCCTGTAATTCTATCTACTTATATAAGATCAATGATCTTAAGTATAAAAGGCTTTAGAAGATCTTTCACTGCCAGTAATATTTGGAATTTGTGCTGAGTATTGGACTAATTTTTTACTCTAAATAACCCTTCAGGTAGAGTTCCTATGCGATGGATGAAAGAACACTATTTCTCAATTTCAAAACAGACAACTCTCTTGCTTTCAAATATCTCATTAGGTTGTTGCATATGTCCGTGAAAAAGTATCCCAGCCTTTTTCTCAACAGACTCCAGACTGAATCTTTTAACTTAATCTTGCATGAGTTGCTCACAGGCTTTTGGTATAATTACTCCATTATAAATCACTGCCATAAACCTTTCCATGTTACTGAGAGATGAGTTAAGAATAACTCAGATTGTATTTGCTAGTATAAAACTTTGAATAACATTAATTCATCTAACATACTCCTTTGATTCCATGGACAGAAATAATTTATGGACTTATCTATATGATTTGTCATAGATAGTCTACAAATGTTTCTTGAATGTCTGTATCATATTTCATCGCCAAAAATTAGTGTGATGGTTTCTTAGAAAAATAAATTAAAAACTCAAATGCTGTCAAACAGGACTGAGTCTTAGTTGCAACTCTCTCTTTTTTTATGCTTGCAGCTAAGTAATTTAATTTAAAATTTATAACAATTATCATGTTTTTCCACCATGGCAAATAGATGATTATCTGTCTTCATGCAGATAACGTGGATTTCACAAACCAGGAGCAATAATTAGCAGAACCTGCCAGCTAATTACCAACAGAAAAAAAATGGCTCAACAAAAACAAAAATCTCAATAGCTGCTTTAGATAATCTTTAATATTGTAACACACGGTGCTAAGCATCACTGAATATGTGCATACTTTCAGAACCTTCAAGAAAGATATATTTCAGCCGATGCAGTGTCACGGACCTGTGTCAAGTCTACTCACAATTAGACACCCCACGGTTCCTTTGAGCTGTGTGGCCAGTTGGTACTATTTGCCCTTAAAATGATCCAAAATAAAAACTTCCCTTCCATTTTAATTGATGCAGAAGGCCCAGGTTTCATCCAAGCACATGATAATGTGTTTCCAAGGTTTATGTCTTATTTTCAAGAAAAAAGAATTTGTCCTTTCCATGAAGCACTAGCAACTCCAGCTCAAAATCCCACCCTCCTGGAATCATCCACTCCCATTTAAACACTCAGGACAACACTAATTCCCTGGCCGAATCTAATCAGAAACAAATTACCTAAGAAATCCCATTCTTCGACATCCTTTTGAGGGGTTTGGGGGACAGAGTCTCTCACATAGTTCATTCACTCACAAACGGTTTTTGAGCAACTCTCAGGTGCCGAGCCTGGTGATAACCGGGGAAGATCCCTGGTTTCACGGAGCTTGCTTTCTCCTCCTGGTTAGTCTTTTTCAGAACTCAGTATTCCCAAGATGACGCCATCAGCCTCCCGTACTGCTCCCTGAGCTGCAGGGCGCCCGCCCCTTGGCACATCCTGCTTGGTGGGAGGCTCTATCGACTCTGCTGCTGAATCCAATCCCCCACTCCATAAGCCCTAGGTTAACAGTCTACCCGGTTCCCATTTCTGATGTGTTGTCCTTGTCCTTGTCCTGTCTGCTATCTCAGTTTCTACTCTGAACAGACATTTTGCCTGGGTTCAATCAATCTTACCCCGAGACCGAAGGTCGGCTTCCAACTCCTTCCTGTGGCTGGAATCCTGCTCCAATGGACCGATCTGATTCCTGAAAGTGACACTTAGCTGGGTTTCCAGTTTCCTCCCCCACCAGAATCCCTTTCACGGTGCTCCAGCTGCATCTTGTAGATGCCGTTCCCACCCAGCGGAGCCCCCATCTCAGGCTCTGCAGCCCATTAAACTCTTCACTGCTTCCCCTCGGTGTGCAGGTCTGGTGCCAGGTCCTGGTCCTGCCCATCAACCACATCATAACTTCTGATTAAATAATCACGTCGTTTCCCCGACATGAGCTACAACAGGGATGCCTAGAGAGGTGGGGGCTTCCTAAGCCAGGCAAGGCAGATCAGGCTCTTGATGTTTAGAGGAGAGTGCCAGCATCTCCCTCTCCATCTCCTAGCTCTACAGTCTTCTCTCTCCTGGTGTCTGGGTCCCAGTCTTTATCACCTGCCCATTACTGTCATCCCAAAGAAGGAAACTTCTGCCCCCAACTCAGCCACTCCCTTTCACCCTATCCTTGTTCCCCCATGAGGGCAGTGACAAATACGATCGTCCGGTCTGACAGTCACTGGGCCAGGCTTTGTTAGTGAAGAGGTCACTGTGATGACAGATACTGCACATTTGCTCATTTCTTAGGTCATGTCATAGAAATTGGCCAAGGTTTGTTGAATAATTACATCAAACCTACACATCCTTTGAACCTCCTGAGGTCTTCCGGGCCAGATGAAACTCTGCCTTAGGGTCTCCAGGGAATGCCATCAAGTCAAGCTGGCCTCTTCTGCTGCCATGACAGAGGTAATGTGAGGCCTTACCTGAATCAGACACTGCTTGTTCCTCTCTTTAACCTTCCTTCCTCCAGAACCGAGGCCACTTGATCTTCCCTTGAAGTGGTGACTGGGACCAATCCTTGCTGCACAAGGCAGAGATTCAGATGCCCAGTCCAACACTCAGATTCAACATCAGGTCACTTTTCCATTGGTCTCTGTTCATATCTAGATGTTCAATTTTCAGGTCCCAGGTCTCATTACTTAACTGCTTTGATCCCAAGAACTGATCCATCTGGACCCCAATTCCAACAATTTGCTCTTGAAGTCAAATTCCTTTGTTGATTACCTGCCTAATACTGTAATTTCCAGAACTGGCAGTTCAATTTTGTCAGTTCCCCACCCAAAGGCTTTGAACCTTAGTCTGGAAGCATATGTACTTAGCACATGTTAGATGCAAAACAATCATTGATTGATTGATTGATTGATTGAAAAATACCTGGACCATTGTAACAGGTGGAAGCTGTCATACCCAGAGAGGGACTGAGAGTAACCAGAATTCATTCAAATGAGGACTTCCAGGGTTCTGAGGGTCTAGAAGGCAGGGCCTGATCATTGATCACTTCATCTCTGCTAGCACCATGCCACCCAGGATATTCTTAATAAAAATTTGATAAAGGAATGGATTTACAAATGGCAGCTGGGGCTCTTTTACACACTGGCAGACTATCTCCTGGCAGGGTCTATCTGCCTGCCTATTAGCTCTGAGTACCTCCTATACCAGGATTTCCCACTGCTGTGCTGTGCCAGACTGCTCTGACCTATCACCACCTCCCTTGAGAGGTGTTCTCTTTACCATCCATCCTTCTAAAGATGTTAACTGTGCAGCAGAACCACTCCCTGTAGTTGTGGTCATGACCTTTGGAGGCTGTGTGCTGTCAGCAGCTCCATCATAGCATGTCTGCCCTCCTACCCTCTACCCCCACCATGTTGTCCCACCACAGATAACTGGGCTGAGTCAAACTGTGTGCAACTGGTTGGCACCAATAGCAATTCGACAATGCCCTCCCATCACGAGTATCTTCTCTAGTCTCCATGTCCTGTATTTCTTCAACTGATCCTCATGGGACACAATTTCAAAAGGCTTCAGGATTCTAATTCGCATCGTCTACACATGACATTCATAAGGTATCATATCCCAAACGGGATGTGCCAGCTATGATTTTGTTTTTGTAACAACCATCAATCTTCATCCACAATTATGTATCAAGACCCTGCTAGGATCCAGGTGCTGTGACAGCCCAACAGGTAATAAACTTCTTGTTAGCAAAGACAGTTTTTTACTACTTTTATATCCACCTCACATCTATTATAGTGCTGGGCTGTTGACTGTAATCACCGTTACACTGAACTAAGGAACACACAAGACAAGCGAGGGTCTTTTTGTTTCCAAACACACAGCAGGAGTTCCAGACAGGTGTGATGGGGCTACCTACCAAACAGATGTCACTGTTTCTAGAGCTGGCACTGGAAGGTCACTCTGGGTCAGGTTAAGGGGTAATAAGAGGCCCTAGACCCATCAAGCTGTTTGAGGAAGCCCATCTCTACTATAAATTCCTGTGTAAAGTGGGTCCAGGGAATTTTCTGCAACTCAAAACTCAAGCCTTCTATGGCAACAATCTGATCACCAAATAAGCCAACTGGAGATGATAATTTCCCCTCAGCTCTCATCCTGAGCCACCACCAGAGCTTCCATGGGCTCCAGAGAGCCTGGCTCTGCCAGCAACAGTCCCCCTACAACTGTCCCTGCAGTCAGGAGCACTGATGAGAGACCTCCAGGCTGAATGCTGCTCTTGAAGGTTCAAGCTACAAAATCGGCAAGGGTCAAAATCTAAATTTGCAGGAGAAAAAAATCCAAAATGACCCATCACCTTGTCTGATTATAACCAATAGTATATAATAGCTTAACTAAATCACTGTTCACTAAAAAGGATTCAACCTTCTTGACACATAGAGATGGATGGATTATGGAGGAATGCTCTTTACTGCTACTGTGAGTCATGGTGAAATCATCAGTACCTAAGTGGCCCATATCCTGGCTCTTCTGGCATAAATGGTTGATACATAATTACATTCAAAGACAGGAACAGGAACTTACCAATTCCTAAATTTTCTGAGAAGTTTTCATATCCAATGCCTCAGTATGGCGTTTCTAATTCAAGTATATGGATGTTGACTGCATGTTTTAAGTGTATCAGAGTTTGAAATTAAATTCTATCTGTGCAAACTATTATTTATATATTTTTTTACAGTTAAATTTTTGGTAGACTTTTCTCTTTCAATACGGTTGAACCCTTTAACAAAATCTTGGCAAGGCCATCAATTTTCCTATGCCCTTTCTGCCTCTGCTGAACACATCAAATACCTATTAAAAGAGAATGAAATATTTTTGTTTAGCTAAATAATTTGGGGAGCTGAACATTGCCATATTTAACAGGCAATTTTTGATCTTGTTCTTATTCCTTAATATTATCTTGTAAGCACATTCCCATGTCATTAAAACTGTTCATAAATATGAATAATACTTTACAATTTTGGTCACTGACTCATTACCCTATTCTTGGATATGAAGAGTGTTAAGTTTTTTTTAACTATTATAAATAACACTGTGATGAATATCATTATATGTCTATATCTGACCATTCTTCATCAAAAATTTGCAGGAATCAAATTGCTAAATAAAAGAGAATGAACGTTTTCAAGGTTTTTGATTAAACAGCCAAATTGTGTTCCAGATACCTAACATCGAATCAAATTACCTGTCTCTTCCCATCCTGCTGGTATCCATTGTCTGTACCTGAGAATTTGGAATCTAATTTTCTGTTATCCTATTTTCCCCCGATTCCCTCTCCTGTGGCTTGGTTCCCAGCGTGGTTTGTAATTTTGGTTTATGAGCTCATTCAGTTGAGCATCGTGTGGGAATGGCGTGAAGCCTGGGCTGAGGTTCCACTTCTGGAAGGGATTTGTTCTGGATTGTGCCAGGTGCCCGTGGTGCTCCAATCCAGAACTGCCTTAAGTTATTTGGTTTGGCATTTACAGAACTAAACAAACAGCTCGACCTGCATGACAGTGGACCTATGGTTACACATTTTTATGGGAGGTCTTTTTCCATCCACAGCCTAGGAGAAAACAGCTAAGTTTCTTTATCTCCCTCTAATGACAGATGTTTTTCTAGCTTTCCTATTTCCTAAGGATACAGCCCTTCATCCAGGGTTTATGTGGCACACTTAGGCACTAAAACCCAAGGCCCTGGTACCAATGCTCAGGAGGCTGCCTTGCTGTCTCCATGTCTAATTGCAGAGACAAACTGCATTCACTGAAAGAAGACTCTGCTGTCAGGCAGATGAGGGGAGAATGGTTTGTTGTAGTCCCATCTTCACACCTCCCACCCCTCCTTTTCAGGTCAATTTGAGACATCTACAGGGTTGATGCCATAGTCAATAGAGAGGAACAAGATGACCTCTCTGATTTATAGGTGTTCTATAATGGAAGAGTTTTTCAGGTTATCCAGTTGCTGTTTTGCCAGAGGGGTCCCATCTGTAATCTCTACACCTCCTGTCACTCTCCCTGGGTCCCCAGAAGTGTTGGAACCCAGCTCACAGTTTTACCTCCAATCTAAGTCCTCTCATCACTCTGGGCCATTTCAACATTTATACAGGTGACCCGTCCAACATCTCAGCCTCTCAATTATTTGAACTTTTAGTGACCTTTGTCTTCACATTCCTTTAGCCAGCCACACTATGGGTCTTTCCACCACATCAATGGCACTACCATAAAAAAATTTTAATTCCATCATGTCACTCTTGGACCACAATCTCTTATATTTCCAATTCTATTATTCGATTACCTCTTTGATATCTCCAGCCTCGTAATTCCGTCACCTCCAGTCTTCCCTTTCCTCCTCGTCCAGTTCACATCCTAGAGTCCATACTTCACCACTTGCCATCCCCACCCACCATGACCTACTGCCCTTCGGTTGTACGTGCCTGAGCAAAAAAGCCACACTCTGTGAATCCAACAGTCTACCTTTTTCCCAGCCTGAGCTGCTGGGAAAATCCACACAATCCATGTGGACTGTGCCTCTTATATTCAAGCTCTGTATCCGGTTGATCTCAATTGCTTAGCAATTCTCATAAGTCTCCATAGTTAATTCTGTCTTCCATGATACACAATGATCATCTCAAACTTTCTCCAAGAAACTGGGACTCTCTCCACAGCCCTTAACAAAAGAATTGTCCTCCTACCTCACAGAAGAAATGGAAGCCATTGGCGAACTCCTTTCCTGTCACCAAATTTCAACCTAACCACACTGGTAGGCAGCCCTTTAAGATGGTCCCTAATGATCCCCACTTCCTGGTATTCACCGTTCTATGTAATTCCCTCCCTTGGAGCATGGACTGGACCAAGTGTCTCCCTTCTAATGAAGAGAGTCCAGCAAAAGTGACAGGATATCACTTCCGAGATTAGGTTACACAAAGACTATGACTTCCATCTTGCTTGCCCTCTCTTGCTTTCTCTCTAGCTCACTCTGCCATGTTGTGAGCTCCCCTAGAGAGAGACCCAAGTAGAAAGAAACTGAGGGTAGCCTACTGGACAGCTGCCAGTGAGGAACTGAGGTCCTCAGTCCAACAGTTCACAAAAAAACAGCGGAATCCTGCCAACAACCTTGAGAGTCAGCTTGGAAGCAGATCCTTCCCGAGTTGAGTGTGGAGATGACTACAGACCTGGCACATACCTTGACTGTAATCTGTGAAAGATTCTGAGCCAGAGGACCCAGCTAAAATATGCCTGGATTCCTGACTCACAGAAATAATAAAAGTGTTGTTTTAAGCAGCTACATGTTGGGATAACTTGTTACACAGCAATAGGTAATGAATACACACACCCACTCATCCTTCCTGCCATTCTTCTTGTTGCAATGGAAGAGGAGCTTCTCCTCCAGTCTAAAGCAGATTCACCATCCGTGGAAGAGGTCCCTTCCCTTCTCATCCTCCCAGGTCTTATCGTGTTCCCCACATACAAGCTTCTCCTCCGAGATCTTGCCTGACTTGGGGGTTCCTTACGTTTTCTCATCACACTTATCCACTCGCCTCTTTCCTCGTCTCTCTTTGCCCCCAGGGGATAAAGTAAATGAAGACAGAAGCCATCATAATCAGTTCATTGTTTTATCCCCAGTTCCTACCATCATTCTTTGAACATAGAAGCCCCTTGATAACAATATGTTGAATGAATAGATCATAAAAGGATATTAAAAAACTTTTTTGGAGATGGTCTAATAAAATTTCTTTGGTGTTGGTTAGCATGACCATATCAGCTGTTTTAAACCTTAAGTACGAAAATCTAGTTAAAAACTATACACATGGAGTAATTTGCTGAAATTGGTGTTTTTGCTGGGTTTTTGTTGTTGTTTTCTACTAAAGACTCACTCTCCCCTCAAATGAAAATATTTTCCTTCCTTCAACCAGGACCTGCCTCAGCCAATAAGGCTCCTTTATGCAAGATTTTTAAAAGGGTGCCTTTTCCTCTTGGCAGCGTGCCCAGCTTGGCAAGCAGTGTACAGGTTGGATTTCACACTCTCGCCCATGGCCAATGCTCTTGTGCAATGAACAACCTCCACAGCCTTACACTGCTACCCTGCTCAACCCTTCTCAAGGGAAAGCCTAGAGCCACATATTTGCTCTCTTAAGTTCTGGGCTCCCTGGCCTCGCTGAGGAAAGTCAAGAGCCAACAAGAGATGAATTAAACTAGATCATCCAAGAAGGGGGAAGATGGAGGATGATGCTTTGCATTGGAGAGGGGGAACAGGTGAATCTGGCTATGACTTCCCTACCCTAGACTGTGAGGATGGCAGGTCTTGGGGCCCATCTCCAGCTGCCATGGAGTCCACAGATGCTGCAATGGGGGGTGAAGGAGCAACAGAGGATGAGGCTCCTTCCCCACTGTGCTTACACGGCCCCTGATGTAACCCGCAAGAAGGAAGGGGGCCTGGCAAGTACAGTGTTGTGGAAGTCTCACCAGGGTTGGCAAATAAATGGGGATGGGGTGTCTTGGACCAGACTTAGATTCATTTAGAAAGATACACAATGAGACCTTACCTGCGCAGTATGTTATAACATCATATCTGTATCCACATCTCCCTCACCAAGCCTCACACGTGTCCCTTGTTCCCACTTGCCCTCCCGATACCTTTGCTGAGGTTCTGATATCTCCTCTTTAAGCAACTCCAATAGGCATTTCAGAAACGGCTCTCCCGGCATCCCCCTTCTCTCCTTTCTTTTTTCCATCTATTGTATGATTACCAGATCACTCTCTTTTAAGCATGAGTTGGAGGATATCACTCTGGTGTCCACACATTTTCAACTGCCCCCCCTCTGATCAGAAGCCATAGTTCCCTGTCTCAGCCTATGGCTCCAGGTC